CTTCAGCATTAAAGCTGAAAAGTCACCATAAGAACAGTACAGTGATAGTGCTATAAAAAATGCTATACCACCACCACATTAATACAACACTATATAGTAGGAACAATAGAATATCATATTTTGTTTCTATACAACTGAACTTTGCCATAATACAGTAGTGTCTAGCGATTCTTGCTTGGAATTGCTTTTTGGCTCCCTTTATTCTAGGTGGCCGTGTCTTAAACTAGAAAATCAGTTTCTGGTCAATAACTTATACAGTGTATTTGATGAGATATTTCAGTGAAAGCATATACTATATGTATAGCAAGCTTATGAGAAAACCCCACTGGATTGTTTTTGGGCCTTGTGAAGGTCATGGTAGCTATAACTAAAAATAGAAAATTTTGTTTCCAGTAAAAAAAGTTTGGAACGAGATAATTCAATGAAACCTGGTGTATGAAGACCTTGCTTGAGATTGCTTAAGGGCCATATAGGTTCATGGTCACTGTTAAAAAACTTTGGTTCTGAGCAATTATAACTAAAGGTTTGGAATGAGATATTTCAATGTTACAAGCTTATGTTAAAACCTGACTAGAAACTGTGTGTAGCAAGTTTATGTGAAGACCTTGATTGGGATTGAATTTGGGCATCCTAGGGTCAAGGTCAGTTACTGAAAATAGAAACTTGGTTTCCAGTCACTAACTAGAATAAGGAATAAGATTTTTATTAGAATTAAACTTATTATTGCTAATTCTTGATGCACATTAAAGGTTTGGGGAATATTGTATGTATCATTTTGAATTTTTTGTCATCATTATTCTAACATAGACTGATATAGGGGAGACTTATAAACTCTACTTGTCTTTTTAAATCGCAGGCCGAGATCTAGAGCATCACTTCGAGATCATTTACCTAAGTCGATTAAATTATATTTTTCATGTAAAATTTGCCCTTCCCTGGGGGTCATCAATTTTACATTGTGTTTACTTCAACTTTCAATAGCTTATGTAACTTATTGACGTAGGCTGTAGGTAACTATATATAATTTGTTAGTCACAAGTGTTGCAAGGAGCTTCCAAATTTTTTTGGGTTTTCTTTCTTTTTTCTGATGAATTGAAGGTGATAATGAAAAGTTTGTGGAATCCAATCCTAACTCCTGCTTACATAACCATCAAGTGATATGCCATTTTTCAAATTATATAACTTGATAAACAAACATTTCTAGAAAAGGAATAAGATTTTATTGTAAAATTAAACTTGTTGTTGCTTAATTCTTAATGCACATTTAAGGTTTGGGGAATATTATCATTTTGACATTTTTTGTCATTATCATTGTAACATAGATTTATATAGGGGAGACTTATAAACTCTTTCTGTTCAAATCGCAGGCCCACACCTTCCAAATGTGGAATGTAGAATCACTTAGAAACCTTTTACTAAGTTGTTCAAATTGTATTTTACAGGTTAAATTTGCCCTTCCCTGGGGATCATCAATGTGACATGGACTAATATAGGAAAAACTTGTATTTCTGATACATTTACCGTTAGTGTGAATTTCTTTCACAGAACAGTAGGTCTTGTTAACTTTGAAAGTCAGGTGATTTGAAGGCCAAAGGCAATAGATCCCTATGAATCCATGTTGTCTTGTTGAAAAAAACAAACTGTTTTATCAGATTCAGAACAAGCAGGTAGGCAAACATTTTCACTTATTCAATTTTAGTTTCAGAAACATAATTATAAAGTACCAGATTTTATAAAAGAAAAAGAAACCAAACCAAAATAAAACTATAACTATGTTATTTCATGGATTTTTATTTCATAATAAGCCATCAATAAATAAAACGCAAATAAATTCCTGCAATGTATGTATTAACAACACTTAAAAACCATCTATTATTTTAAGATCCTGACTAAACAAATGCTGTTGGAATAATAACATATAAAACCAAAATGGTAGTCATGGCAACAATGCCATTATAACAAGGATAGTGATAAAAGAACATAGATTTATCATAAATACTAGTTTTATGAAACAAAATGAGACAAATGGGTATAAAGTTTGTAATCTTTACTAGCTGAAACTGAAATTGACGTGTCAGCTGGACACAAAGAGCCAGGGTTCCATGCAGTCTGACCAATACTGATGGTAGCTTACATGTAACTTTTATACTTTGATATTTAAATTCTATAAACTCAGTACTATTCCAAATTCTACGGGGGCATAAAAGCGCCATAGAAAATCTTTTTTTTTACTGTGTGTCCAATCGATGGCTTTTACATGGTCACATCACATTCACACTTGATAGCTAGATTGGGCGCTGCAATATGATTTATGACTGTGTACATAAAACCTATCAGGTAAACATAAAATGGCAATCACATGTAACATAAAATGGCTATCACACGTGTAACATAAAATTACGTGTATGTAACACCAATCACGTAAACACAAAATGGCTATTGTGTGGCAACAATATAGCTATAGTGTGGGCATATAAAGCAGAAAATAAAAGATTTTGTAAGTCCTGTTTTAAGCCACTGTAAAATTCAATGCTGGGAAAATATGTAATACAAACTTAAAAGGTTAAGTGTCAACGGTAACAATCATTTCAATAGTGACATTTCAAACAATTATATAAAAACATGTATATATATATATAATTATATTGAATTTGATAAAACTGTAAAAATGTCAAAATAAACATGATGACATAAAAAAAAAATCAAAAATAATTTTTTATTTATTAATTATAACAAACCCTGTTCATGGTGGTTGAAGCAAAAGCTGTTTTAACATGTAAATATCTGATCAATTGATAACATAATCTAGAGGTGTGCAATGATCAAAATATAAATTCTTAAAAAATATTTTAAAGACACCAAAAAAATACAAGAATTAATTAATAATCATAAGAAATGATAAATGGAATTTGTTAACTGCTTGTTTTAACTGCTCAGCCAATGCAACTCTTCACTCAAACAGATAGGGCAATCAAGTGCATTATTACACAATATATGAGCCATGTCACGACAAAACCAACATAATGTGTTTGCAACCAGCATGGATCCAGACCAACCTGCGCATCTGCTCAGTCTGATCAGGATCCATGCTGTTCGCCATCAGTTTCTCTACTTGTTATAGGATTTGTAAGCGAACAGCATGGATCCTGATCAGACTGCGCGGATGCTTTTGTTGTCTCAAATGGTGAAAAAATGCCTTATTTAGGCCTCAAACACTTGTTTTTGTTCGAGAAATGTTGTTGAAAAAAGTGACCACTTTTTCAGCGCGGCCCCCCAACTAAAAGATACATCAGGGGATGTGCCCCCTTCTGTTTGGGGGGTTTGAAGGGGGGCGGTAGTCCCCCTCATTGCCAAGAAAATTTTTCACTTGTGAGAGGCTAAAAATGACCCCAGGTCGATCATAAGGTAACATGTAACCAACGCTGAAAAGCCTTTGACTCTATCTCAATCCATTTAGAAGTTGCAGCACTTTGAAATCAATTTTGATGGAAAAAATCAAGGCAAAATAGTGATTTTTGGCAATTTTGAGATGTCCCCTTGTTGCCATGGTAACAGGAAAAATAAGCCTGGGCATGTTGTTACTAAGGCAATGGTCCAGTTAACATTTGTGCCAAGTTTGATTAGTATTGAAGAAGTTTTTATAGTTTTATAGCAATTTGAACTTGTAACGGGAGACTTTTCAATGAAAACAGCCATTTTTCACAAAATGCTCATGAAGTAATGGGTTAAAAATTTCATTTTGCAAATTTACCATCATTTTACATCATAATATATATCCTACACATTTTAACTCAAACAGTGCATTCATCTACAATAATAAACTCAAAATTAAACCAAATACATAGTACATGTAATAATCATTCCTGTCTTAAAATTCTCATCAAACTATTAAAGAGAACATGTTGAAAAATCAAGAATTTTTCATTCATATTCACCTTGAGTATTTCAAAACATAAAAACAAATTCAGAACTTTTTTCATTTTACAATAAACTTTAACAACAACAAAACATTTTTTTTACAATAAACTTAAATAAGACCAAAACATTTTCTTTTTCACAATAAACTTAAATAAGACCAAAACATTTTCTTTTTCACAATAAACTTAAATAAGACCAAAACATTTTCTTTTTTACAATAAACTTAAATAAGACCAAAACATTTTTTTTTTACAATTATCCTGACTGGAAACATGTTTTTGAAAAGATAAAAGAGGGATGAGTCTGTGATTCAAAAGGAATACACACATAAAGAATAAATAACATGGCATGGGGTCACTTGAAAAATGTACTTATTAATTTAAGTACTATTGTGTATGGGAGGTAGTAAGATACATGCAAAAACACATTCCGAGAAACCTGTTTACAAAACACAATTTTTAATAACAAACAATTTAAAAAAACATTGTTGTTGTCAAAAGTTTGGTATCTGATTTTCAATGTGTTTTAAAATGTTTAAAAAAAATCTTTCTGTAAACAGTCAAGTTTGAGGGCACAACTGAATCCATATATGGGCTTTATAGCTCTACTGGTGAACCTTAATCTCATGAACCTGTCTGAACTAATTAAAGACAAAAAATATTGAAAAAAAAAACAAAACACCAATGTAGAACTCGTGACATTTTTGAGCTAGTTCAGAAGCTGCAAAATTACAAGATAAATCATTGTTGTTTTGTGATAATTTACAATATACCAAACATCATTATACATATAAGTGACTTAGTCAAGTCTGAAAAAGATTTTGTGCCTTGAATAGTTTCTGAGATAGAAAAATCATGACAAACAACACTTCAGAGACAATGATAAAGATACAAGCACCATAGCTATATTAAAACATTGAAAGAAATAATAATGATAATAGTAAAAAGGAATGTAAAGATTCATCAAATATAAAACACTGGAATGTAAAATCCTGCAACTACATGTACATACATTTAGAAACTAAAAATAACAAGAGTGCCACGATGGCCCTTGATCGCTCACCTGAGATACATTGCTTGAAAATTTTTCAATGTTAAAGACAGAAATGAGGTCACATCTATGGATTGCCAAATTTTTATCCAGTCTGTATGATTCTTAAAATATTTGTAAGATTTAATGTCTGCTATGAAATTCTTCATGACAAGTTTCTAGAAATATTGACAATGTAATTTCTCAGTAATGATGTTCCACAGGATATGTCATTTTTTTTAACATAATCTGCATATTTTTTATATCAATATTTGTAGATGTAAGCTATAAAATGCTCTCAGTAATGTAATCTAACACAAGCTGAGATCAATGTGTTTTACTGTGACCCCTGAGACATGATTTATGAAACCTTTTTTTTAGAAGACCACCAGGTGATTCTTCAATCTAAGCATTTAAGCTCTGGGCATTGTAGTTTCTGAGAAGAAGATTTTTTAAAGATTTCAATTTTCAAAGTTTTAGAAGTCTATTTTTAGCTCCTCTGACCTACTTATACATCAAACTGGAACCATTTATATAGTGTCTGAAGGCCACCTAAGGATCATTCCTATGAAGTTTGGTCAAAATCAACCATGTAGTTTACTTGTTTAGGTAAAGATGTTGTTTAAAGAAATTGTGGATAACAAACATATGCCCAATGATGGACTGCAGACACACTGTCATCACAAAAGTTCACCTCTGAGAACTTTGTGCTCAGGTGAGCTACTAGTAAAAATGAGACATTTTTAACATATTGTACCGGAATAACAAATTTATATTTGGATTTCTTATTTTAGGAAATCTTATGAAAATTTTCAATTTTAACATTTCAGTTTGCAGATCACATTTCAATGCATATTTATAGACAGGAGCTATTTTATTTATATCATTTGAGGCAATGACTGAACCGCTTTATGACATCAACATTACTAAAGTTGTTTCTTTGAATACACAATTATGCTTTTGTGACAATTTACAATGAGACCATTTTGCAACAATCAGTCAATTTCCTAAGCACATATCAAACATTTGTCTGTTTGTTTATTTTTCGGTTTCTGTTTGTATACTTTTACACCAAATTTAACATATCATTGAACTTGTCAATCTGTCTACCTCTGTCCAAAAAAAAAAACATTTTATTTTTGTTTAAAATTTGTTTAATGCTTCAATGTATAAATGTCTTCTAACTTGGAACACTTAAGCACCTGTCATAACCATTTAATCTAAGTAGTTTAATGTTTTTGTATCTTCAGCTATCTAGGTTTTTTCCTCATTTTGTCTATAACTTTCCCAGTTTCCTTGGCCCCCTCTGAATCACCAGACATCTGCTGTGCATACCTTAACTGCTGCCAGAATGGTAGAGTGTCTGGCTCTAATTCAGTACCCTGAAATATATTAAAATACTTTTGAACACACTATTACAAATCAGTTTAGTAATTGTTACATAGTCTCAATGTTTTTCTAAAAGCTGACACAATATGGACATAAAATGAATACAGGATCTCACTTGAATAAAGTTTGAAAAATCATCATAAAGAGATAGGCATAATAATAAAATTGTTGAGATCAGTAGGCCTACCACAAATATTAATGAGATAATAAACTGTTGAGATCAGTAGACCTATACTACCACAAGTATTAGTGAGATAATAAAATTGTTGAGATCAGTGGACTTGTACTACCACTAATAAATTGATTATATTGATCATCATAAAGAGATAGGCATAATAATAAATTGTTGAGATCAGTAGGCCTACCACAAATATTAATGAGACAATAAATTGTTAAGATCAGTAGACCTGTTCTACCACAAATATTAATGAGACAATAAATTGTTGAGATCAGTAGACCTGTTCTACCACAAATATTAATGAGATAATAAATTGTTGAGATCAGTAGGCCTGTACTACAACAAGTATTAGTGAGATAATAAATTGTTCAGATCAGTAGGCCTGTACTACCACAAATATTAGTGAGATAATAAATTGTTGTGATCAGTAGCTCTGTACTACCACAAATAATAGTGAGATAATAAAATTGATGAGATCAATAGGCCTATTCTACCACAAATATTAGTGAGATAATAAAATTGTTGAGATCAGTAGCCCTATACTACCACAAGACATCATAAAGAGATGGGCATAATAATAGATTGTTGAGATCAATACGCCTATAATACCACAAATATTAGTGAGATAATAAATTGATTAGATTGATCATCATAAAGAGATAGGCATAATAATAAAATTGTTGAGATCAGTAGGCATACCACAAATATTAATGAGATAATAAATTGTTGAGATCAGTAGACCTGTTCTACCAGAAATATTAATGAGATAAAAAATTCTTGAGATCAGTAGGCCTGTAGTACCACAAATATTAGTGAGATAAAAAATTGTTGAGATCAGTAGGCCTGTACTACCACAAGTATTAGTGAGATAATAAATTGTTCAGATCAGTAGGCCTGTACTACCACAAATATTAGTGAGATAATAAATTGTTGTGATCAGTAGCTCTGTACTACCACAAATAAGAGTGAGATAATAAAATTGATGAGATCAATAGGCCTATTCTACCACAAATATTAGTGAGATAATAAAATTGTTGAGATCAGTAGCCCTATACTACCACAAGACATCATAAAGAGATGGGCATAATAATAGATTGTTTAGATCAATACGCCTATAATACCACAAATATTTGTGAGATAATAAATTGATTAGATTGATCATCATAAAGAGATAGGCATAATAATAAAATTGTTGAGATCAGTAGGCATACCACAAATATTAATGAGATAATAAATTGTTGAGATCAGTAGACCTGTTCTACCACAAATATTAATGAGATAAAAAATTCTTGAGATCAGTAGGCCTGTACTACCACAAATATTAGTGAGATAAAAAATTGTTGAGATAAGTAGGCCTGTACTACCACAAATATTAGTGAGATAAAAAATTGTTGAGATCAGTAGACCTGTTTTACCACAAATAAGAGTGAGATAATAAATTGTTGAGATTTGTAGACCTATACTTCCACAAATATTAGTGATATAAAAAATTGTTGAGATCAGTAGACCTGTTTTACCACAAATAATAGTGAGATAATACATTATTGAGATTTGTAGACCTATACTTCCACAAATATTAGTGATATAAAAAATTGTTGAGATCAGTAGGCCTGCACTGCCACAAATAATAGTGAGATAATAAAATTGATGAGATCAATAGGCCTTTACTACCACAAATATTAGTGAGATAATAAAATTGTTGAGATCAATAGGCCTATAATACCACAAATATTAGTGAGATAATAAATTATTGAGATCAATAGGCCTATACTACCACAAATATTAGTGATATAAGTATTATCATGAACAATATATTTTAAGATAAGAAATAATGTAACAAATAACATTTCAATTTCAACAAGCGAATTCGTTGAATTTATATCCCCTGCCGAGTACTGGTTATTACTAACACAACAACTGAAGACATAAGGCTTTATTTATACATTTATCATGGCATAAACAGTAATATTCTTTGAACTTGATAAATATTTAGGGCAATAACAGAGCCATAACTCTGTGTTAAATAGTAATATCTGGAAATGCCAATGAGATGTATGCATACTGCATAACTAATCAAGGGCCATGAATCTGAGTTATAAAAATCTGACCGGAAAAAGGCGACTATATGCACATCTCCTCTTCGTATCCCATAAAGTATCATTGAATTTCAGCCAGTAGTTACAGAGAAGTAGCACGGAAACGATTATTGCTCTGGTTGTATACTGCATAAGTTATCAAGGGCCATAACTCAAAGTTAAAATGTCTGACCTGAACAAGGCGACGATATGCGCATCTCCTCTTGGTACTGAAGGTTCCAATAAAGTTTCATTGAATTCCAGCCAGTAGTTGCAGAGAAGTAGCGCAGAAACAAATATTTTTCTATATGCATACTGCATAACTAATCAAGGGCCATAACTCTGAGATAAAATGTCTGACCCCAACAAGGCAATGATATGTGCATCTTCTCTTGGTATTGAAGGTTCCCATAAAGTTTGTTGAATTCCAACCAGTAGTTGCAGAGAAGTAGCGCGGAAACGATTTTTGCTCTATATGCATACTGCATAACTAATCAAGGGCCATTACTCTGAGTTAAAGTGTCTGACCCATACAAGGCAACGATATGCGCATCTCCTCTTGGTATTGAAGGTTCCCATAAAGTTTCGTTGAATTCCAGCCAGTAGTTGCAGAGAAGTAGCGCAGAAACGATTTTTACTCTATATGCAAACTGCATAACTAATCAAGGGCCATAACTCTGAGTTAAAGAGTTGGACCGGAACAAGCCAAAGATATGCGCATCCCCTCTTGATATTGAAAGTTCCCATAAAGTTTTGTTGAATTCCAGCCAGTAGTTGCAGAGAAGTAGCGCGGAAACAATTTTTACTCCATATGCATACTGCATAACTAATCAAGGGCCATAACTCTGAGTTAAAGTGTCGGACCAGAACTAGCCGACGATATGCGCATCTCCTCTTGATATTGATGATTCCCATAAAGTTTCATGGAATTCCAGCCAGTAGTTGCAGAGAACTACGAAATTCGGATGGACGGACGGATGGACGGAAGGACGGACGGACAACGCCAAAACTATATCCCCCTCCTGATTCCATTGGCAGGGGATAAAAATATAACAAGCATTATCAAGATTAGAATTACATAATGTTAGAAAAACAAACCATGCATAACTGCGACATAATAAAATTGAGATAAAAATGTCAAATATATATCTGTCTCATAATGGTTCACATTTCTGCCAAGTATTTTCAAGTTCTAGTTTCAAGTTCCACTGGTTCAGACAGGAAAACTGATAAAAGATGGACAACCAAGTGCACAACATTATACACAAAATGATGGCAAGAATAAATTACATTCATGCAAACAGACCTTTCTGTATATATGTACGGCATCTCGTGCACGTCCTGTATTGACCAGGAAGTCACCATATTGAGCGTAAACATCCCAGAGGTTCGGATTCATCTCTTTTGCATGCTTGTACAACCGATCAGCTTCTTCCAAATTACCTATCTAAATTCCAATAACCATGCATAGTAAATAAATATTTGTTAGTGACATAGATACTCAGTAAGTTTCCATCTCTCTCCCAAATTTTCTTATTATGAAGCGCATAAAAATAATCTTTTTTTTTGGTGTTTTAATTAATTTTTTTATTCAAAATTGTAGAGAGTGGCAATGATTCAAAGTTTGAAACATTAATTTTTAAAAAAGGGCTGCCAATGGCCCACTCTGATCCATCACGGCAACAGCGGTGGCCACACCCGAAAGTAACTAGCCACAGCTACCTGATTGGTTCTGTCAGTAGTCATATGCTTGCCAGGCAGCCCTTTTTTATGTTTTGTTTCTGCAAAAAAATCTTATTTTTCTCAATTACAGATTAATTTTGTATTAGAGATTTTTATAACAATTAACATAATGCTTGTGTCCCCTTGCTGGTATTTCTATTGAAAAAGGGAGCCTTAATATAATAGTAATTTCTGGTTTTTCTAGAACGACAGGACAAAAACAGTGTTACACAACTTACAAAACATACAGTATGCAATCAAAACAAGAATATTAGCTCCTGATTAACAGTTTCCTTTGCGTGCAGTTATTTAAAAAAATCTTTATTACTAAGAATTACATCAGCATCTAATAATTATGATTAATATCTATATATGTAAACAGAAGATTTTTTTAAATATTGTTAACTCTTTATTTTGAAGAAAAATGAAATTTCTTAGATGGACAGAGGTACAAAAATTAACTTGCTTTTGTTCTTTACATTATTTCATTTTTTTTTTTTTAATTGTTGGTGTGGTTGAGTCAGTCCACCTAGCCAAATAGGGAAAGCATGGGTCAGTGGTTTGATCCTCGGGCCAGGGGGCAAAGTTTCTTGATGACATTTAATATCCAACATTGGTCAAATGGTCATTAATTTTGTCTATAATCACTGATTCAGAAATAATTTGGAAATAGCAGCTGATATTTGGAAATAGTAGCTGATATTTGGAAATAGTAGCTGATATTTGGAAATAGTAGCTGATATTTGGAAATAGTAGCTGATATTTGAAAATAGTAGCTGATATTTGGAAATAGTAGCTGATATTTAGAAATAGCTGCTGATATTTGGAAATAGTAGCTGATATTTAGAAATAGCTGCTGATATTTGAAAATAGTAGCTGATATTTGGAAATAGTAGCTGATATTTGGAAATAGTAGCTGATATTTAGAAATAGTAGCTGATATTTGGAAATAGTAGCTGATATTTAGAAATAGCAGCTGATATTTGAAAATAGTAGCTGATATTTGGAAATAGTAGCTGATATTTGGAAATAGTAGCTGATATTTGGAAATAGTAGCTGATATTTAGAAATAGCAGCTGATCACTTTCAGAGCAATTGGTAATTACTGGTAGTTATCCGTTTAGATATGCATGTCCAAGTTGCTCTATAAATGATATTCAAATTTGTTACAAGCTTTTATAACCTCAGTGGAGTTCCTTCCATTCTGAGCACAGTTCAATATTATTTATTTCTATTACAAAATTCTAATACTTTTAAATTTAAATTAAAAATTGTTTGAATCAAAATGGTTTAGCAAGCATTCATTACACAGAACTTAAAAATATTAGTTCTAATTTACAATGTAGCAAAAATGCACCTTTCTTTAGTTAAGATGTCAGTAAATCCATGGTTTCTTCTTTATTAATAGATCTTTTAAAGCATGTATTATCTATATGCAAGAATTATGCAATAAATGCCATGCAAACTTGTTAATTTGTTCTTAAATACCTTAAATTCCATGCCTGCTAGATTTAAAACTGCAATAACAAAATGTTTATCTAGTTTGATAGCTTGTCTGGTGTGATGTCTGGCCTTCTCATACTCCCGAATGTCAGCATATTGACTACCTAGCTTCATCTGTACCTCCGCATTATCTGTAGACAAAAAAGCAACAAAAAACCAGCAATGTAATTACAAAATATTAAGATATTTTAGAGGGAAAATAAGGAAAATTCCCCCCTTTCTCCCACCACAAGAAGCCTTGTTTAAACATTCCCTCCGAATTTCACCTCAACTGAATCCAAATTGACCCAAATGCACCATAAAAGCACCACAGTACCTCTTTGGTATTGATTATTGTAAATAAGGTCCTTTGCATATAATTTCCCCTTACTTTTACCATCAGACCTGGAAATTTTAAAACATTTTTTTCTGAGATTTTACTAAAATCTCAGGATTTTCATTGGTCAGTGTACATTCTATACAAGTTTCTGACCAATCAAATACCTGAGATCTGAGTTCGAGCTTTACAGAATTTCTTTATAATATCATTCCCAGACTCCGCTGATGAAGTCCAATATTAAAATGAATGCGTACATTTGATTTTTATCTGATTCGGGCAATCTTTTCAACCTGAAAAAAGGTCACAAAGTAACATTTATACAGAAGGTTATGGGTTAACCCAAATGTCTTATTTTCAACTTGTATTACAAGCAAAGATTGAATTGTTGGTTATAAAATCAGTTTTCTAGCAAGAACATAATAAAAGGGAAGTGATTTCTGAACTGTCTTCATACTTAAACACAACTTTTTTTAGTACATTGTCTTAAAGAAGATCAAACTAAATATGACCTTAACTCATAAATGACCATGAACTTAAAGGTCAAATTATTGTAATTCACAGTTTGTTTTGCTATAATTGGCTTTAACTTTATAAGTAATAAATGGACTGTCTCATAAAATACTTGGGGCTAGACATCAAAGATTTCATTGAAATTGAACTTCATTCGACCTTGACTCTAAAGGTGAAATTATAGAATTTTGCTACAATTGGCCATAACTTTATATAATTATGTACTTGATTCATTCTGTAACAAAAGAACTCTCATGACAAATCGGAAATTATGACTGTAAAATTATGACCTTGACCTTTGAATGGCCTTGACCATTAAGGCCAAGTTATTGAATCTAGCTTATACTGTCATAACTTAGTTATTATTATTTACTATAGATTGAATCAATATTGGGAACACTTCTGAAAACACTGACATGTTGAATGATTCAAGATCGACCTTGATCTGTAAATAACCTTGACTGTCAACGTCCCCTCTCGGCAATGGCTATTATTTCTTTTTTTTTCCTCCTTCCATTTCCTTTTTTCTGTTTCCTCATCGGAACAAAAACATTATTCCTGTAAAATTTAGTGTACCGTTACATTCTCAAAACTCTTGCCTGAGATTTGTAAACAAAACTATGACAGAGACATAAAAATGAAAGTTAAGGTAAATATTATATCTTACCTGGCAGTAATTGCACTAGTTTTTCAACGATCTTCACCTGTTGTAGTTTTAATTTCTGTTTCTCAGTTTCATCTTTACCCCTCATAGATTCTTCTATTTTCCTTTCTGAAACGATGAAAATGAACAAGAACTGTAACA